ATTAACATTGGCCTACCGCTTGTACTAATAAAGTGCCAAGGGCCTAAGTGGTCACCTTAATATTAAAAAAAAAATAAATAAATAAATGATATAACTTTATACTTTAGCCTTAAAATCAAAATTTCAAAAGCATCTACGTATTTCAAAATCTTCATTTCTTGTAGCGGTAGACCTTTGATATAGTGATGAAATTTCATAGCTGTTAACAAAAAATTTTGGTAAATATTAAGCAATATGGTCGCTCTGGTATTGAATGATAAGTTATTATATATTGGATGACAGTTCTTGGTAACAATACTAATTGAAAAATATATATAATTTAAATATATATACGTTTAAAAACAATAAATCAAATAATATAATATTTACTCAATCATTTTTTGTTTAAAAGCTTCACCAGGATTCCTTGATGTCTTGACTGTTAAAGTATCCGCAATGTCTATGCAATTTTATCAAAATACGTACAGTATATAATTAATATGTAACATATATAATATATATTGTTAAGAAGACCTACGTAAAAAGCTATATCGTGTATAATCAACTTTGCAATTCAATGTAGATGTATGAATTAGAATTCCACACCATGGAAAATCTAATATCCATTTTCATTTAAGTTAAAAAATTTGGTAAAATTACTAGTGCAAACAAAAATATTTAATTTACCAAACGTATTACTCAATTTTTCTATCGGCTCCCCATTAACAATAACATCAAAATTTGTTAAACTCTTTTCTCTATTAACAATACACTTATATTTTGGATGACCTAAAATATAATACATTTTCAATAAAATTTAAAAATCTATTTCATTTAAAAAATATATACATTATAATTGTTACCATTATGCATTGCAGTTATAAATCTTTCAACCTTTTCTTTGTCTGTACTTATGTACAGAAAATCATCAAGAAAACGTAAAATTCAATCTTTAGCAAGAAGAAACATTAAACCTTTTAAAATTGATCTATTTACTTACGCCATCATCATGCTTAATAAAAGGAAACACTTTCCATTCCATCTCACCATAATAAAAGCTAAAAATTGTTATAAGTCATCATTGTATATCTATGTATCAAGAAAAAAACAATTATCAATAGTGCCAATACAAACCTACAAAGCAGTGTCGATACGACTGACCCTTGTGAAATACCGATACATTGCCTATAAAACTTGTCTCCAATCTATTAATAAACATAGCATATTATTGTATTGTATTTACATGATATAATATAGCAGCTTCAGAATTGTACCTTTATTAAATTGTACTTTATATGCTTTTCTAAAAGATCAAGTATATTCTTCTTACTTAGATATGATTCTTTAACGCGGTCAATAAAAACTGAATTTGGGAGCTTTTGTGCTGATTCTCTTGCAAAGGTAGGAAAATCAGGTATATTGTCTACATACGTATATCATTTAATACAAACAACACAAAAATAGATGCAATGATCAAAAATCTTATTACGAAATTGGTTAATATACCTTTTGAGTTGATATAATATTTATAAAACGAATGTATTTTATTACTCTTCTGGCAAACCACATCATATTTATGAATGGCATATTCACTCTGAAACAGAGAAAAATTATTTATCTTTTCTCAGATAATGTGTAAATAAAAGATAGACTTACTTCTTTTAATACGTCTTTAACTATATCCAAGACTTGCTCTTGATCGATTGATTCAAAACAACATTGGACATCCACTTTTGCGAAGTATAATGTTGATCTGTAAAATAAAAAGACTAGTTATTATAACTATAAATAATTAATGCCATATTTGCGTAAATTAACGCCCATGGGCGTTAATTAGAGACATGCAATCCAAAGAAAACTAATAATTAATTTAGCCAAAGAATTTTAATAACAATAAAACTATAAATCACACTCAGTTAATAGTTCTCTTTAAATTGCATGTCTATTGACTCCATTGCCAACCCTGCCCATGGGTGTTAATTCGTGTAAATACGGTGGTCACAATCAGAGCTATATAAGTATATACGTATTAACATACTGCATCTGTCTATTTTTTGTAAGGTTTTGTTTAAATTCTTTCAACCGTTCATAAATTTCATTAAGATTGAACACTGAACCATCTAGCCTAGAAAACTTTTCATCAGATAATTGCATATCCTGAACAAATTCATATTTCAACAAGCTATTTAGCATATAAAAAAGTTGTGGCAAAAAAAAATCTCTTAAAAATTACAAATACTACTTTTTCAAATGTTAGGACTTGAAATGTATCTTGTAGAATTGTGTTCACGGATCGCTTTGGATTTTTTTCACCGTCCACCTATGTCAGTAAAACATTCATTTACCAGGTATAGTTAATACATATAACAAGTAAATTATGCCAAAATTAATGCTAAGTAAATAAGAATACCTCGACCAATAAAATACTAACCTTACTTTGCACTCTATTTAGATTGATAACACGCCGCATTTCACCTTTTAATCCTTTTGGAAGAAATCGAGCAGTACAATATCCCAAAATACTATTGTCTAAGAACTGTTTCTCAGTTTCCTAAAATAAAATATAACAATCAATTACTAAAACTGTTGAGGCATTAAAGATATACATATCTTTTCAATCACGAATTTACATACTTTAGGAACTTCTTCAAAAGTGTTTGCTGGCAAAGATTCCATATTGTATTTTTCAATTCGTAACCAGATATCTTTACGATAGTAAAACACGAGATTCTTGTATTTTGCATTGGTAGTTATATAGAAATTGGTCTGAGCAATACGAATGCCATAAAATAAAATTTAGTGACTGGGAATTGAACTTAAAAAATACCAAGAATTCAAATTTCTATTACTTGAAGCAGTGGAATAACAAAGCAATCAAATATCCACCAAATAAATTCATATAATAATTCTGATCTCTTATCAGCTTCGACTTTGTTATTTTTGTTGCCATCCACAAAAAGCCATTTGCACTGCTTAATCTTAAATTCAATGAATAAATAATAATTAGAACTAATAAAATGTACAGATAATGATATACGTAACAGATAAAATTTACATACTTTGAATTTATTCAAAACATGGTGCAACGAGAGCCCTTCATAATACCTAAGTTCAATAAACTTTTTTACAGCTAATATTAAAATAATAATAATACGCAATAATTATATTAGTGACAAATACGAATTTCAATTATTCCAAATATACGTATTACCTTCAAATATTATTTGTTGATTGTCATTACAGCCCCAAAACTCTTCTGGAATTACTCGTCGCAACACTTCACGAACAAATGTGGTAACCTATATTTATTAAAATACGTATAAACAAAAGTTTGGACAACTAGAAAATAAAAATATCAAATCGCAAGGATTATTAATTATGATGGAAAAAATACCTGATATTTATTTGAACTAGAGTTTACATCCTGAATGTAAGAGCTATCATCTGTAGAAAGAGCGGATAACTTGCTTTGCATCTGTTAGGAACAAATATATATACGTATATATATAAATCAACTGTATCTATTTGTTTGATTTTGTAATTGAGATGCTCTCCTACCATCACAGGACAATAACGCTTGAGTAAGCTTGTGTATCCACATTTTTTATGACGTGAAATAATCTGGTCTATCATAGGCAACACTCGAATCAAGCGAGGAGGTATGTCAGTATTAAGTTTCTAAAAATAAATCGCATCAATATTTATGATTGATATTTAGTCTTTATACATATACAGATTAGATTATTTATTAAAAAAAACCTGAATCTCAGTAATACGATTTTGATACGGTTGAAATAACGATTGCACGCTTGGCTGCCCATTCTCGTCATGATCAAATACGTTTTGAAGTCCAAATTGCTTTGGAAAAATATGCTGAATGACGTCTCTTGACATTTTGGTAATATTTAAAATATCTGTAAAATATCAATATATGTATATAATCAATAAAACATTAGGTAAAGTTATCATGTTTTTTTAATTACTTACGACATTTAGGCAATCCGAACCTGACAGAACCATGAGTTGCAGATGGAAAAATATCTTGAATCTGTTAAATGTAAGATTCGCAGGTGTTCTTACACCTCTTTTTGAATTTATTTCTCGATCACCGGACATTTCATTAGAAGTTTTGGCTTTGTTAAGAGATGAATTTTCTGAAACATCAGTACGAATAGTATTTGATTTCCTGAAATATCTAACACCATCACAATTATTGTATTTGGTAGATTTAGAAATTTCTTCATATTGTGAATAGGGGTCATCTAAAGCCCGTTTTTGTGGCTACCGGTGAATATTATTGATTCATTCAATGGGTATAATCATAGAACGTTATTTGCTGAAATCTTTTTTGTAAACATCACAATAACCATAATTCATAAAACTTACCGTTACTTTTGGTGAATCATTTAAATTTTCCAGATCTGGGATGAAATTTTTAGATTCACGTTGTAAGTTCACACATGTACCTTGAGGTGCCATTTCTACAAAAGTTTTCTGAGATAACACCCTTTCAAAAGTTCCTTTTCTTTTGAAGGTTTCTTGAGATGACACCCCTTCAAAGATTTCTTGAGATGGCATTTTTTCAGAAACTTCTTGAGATATCATTTGGACTTTTGAAGAACAATCGATATTCGGATTAGGCAATTCGCTAATTGCAGGACCTATTTAGGTGATTAAAATTTAATTATAAATTCTATTTAAAACTAAATAACTGGTTACAATTTCTTACCAGTCACTTGAAGATAAGAATTATTTGAAAGAAAAATAAATATCGATGTATTCGTCAACAAGTAAGTCATTGCTTTCTCACCAAGCCTACACAATACGTACTATGTTATTTGACCTTATGCACCTTATGAGTATTTCTATTTTATATTACAAAATTTAGATTATTTACCTAGAGTAAAGCTTCTTCAATGCTGGTAAGTGTTCGATATAACCTGTGCATGAATTTTTGCACTTTACCGTATGACCGTATTCAAATGGTATCTAATTACAGTTTGAAACAAACAAATTAACATTTAAATGTCTTTCATATGCAATACACATATCATGTTAGTACTCCACAAAATCAAGTCAAATTTTGAATTGAATCAAATACTTGAAATTATTTGATCAATGATTTGATCAAATAATTTCAAATATTTGATTCAAATTCAAAATTTGATTTGGTTTTGCGGAGTACTATACATAACTAAGGATGCTATATTAACCCATCGAAAGCCAAGTGATAAAACATTGGGTTGTTTTTTTCGGACCGAGTCTGGCTTTTTATTAACAAGTTCGGTAATAGCATCTTTAACCACCTACCAACGAAATTTTAGATTAATTTTCAACGAACTACGTACGTACACTTATCAATTAATGTAGTAAATAAAGCATACCTCTGCATATTGTTTTTCCGAATTCCACAAACATAAGCTACGCTGAAAGGACTGTTCGTTGTCATTTATGAGTGAGGTTTTTAGTAAGCTTGTATACTCTTCCTCATCACTCTTCTGAATCAATTCAATTTGACTGCCGCAATGCGTGGTAAGAAATTCGTATAATGTAGTGATATTTGGATAATAAGCACACAAAATCTGGTTTTTGAATGTGTTCGAATACATTGTCTCAAAGGTTATTATCAAAAAAAAAAAAAATTAATACGTACTGATAATCGCGTTTTAACTAGCCAATCATATTAAGGGACGTACACCAAACCGTGTACATAATTTACGTATAAACAAACGATCAAATCTGCAATTATTCCGATTTTGACCATCGATAAGGACGGATAGTATAATCTTCTAACCCTTGAGCTTTGACAAGACGATTGCACCAAGGAACCCTAACCCTTTGTGCCAAAGCTGTCCTTTCAGTTTGCAGTGTTCTGCGCTAATCACCCGACTAGACGAGCGGGTGCTCTGGCAAAGATATAAATCTAAGAACTAGGTTAAGTCCTTTAGTGTTCTATACTGACCACCGACTATGTTTTGAAGCGAGTAAGGCAGTCAGAAAAGGAACTGGAAGCACATCGTGGCCACAGTATACCTACTGTGAACGTCCTTTCTTTTCTAACTAATTGAAAACTTTTTAGTGGGTGCTTTGGTATCAGTTGTAAATCCAGTATTCTGCACTAATCACCCGACTAGATGAGCGGGTGCTCTGGTAAGGATGTAAATCTGAGGATTTAATTTAAGGCTTCTTTGTTCAGTGAAATTATTTTCTCTACTTGCATTGGTTTTTTAACATGATTTCTCCACAGAAGAAAACTGTTATTGGGTGCAACAATCCCTCATTGGGTTTAGATAGATTTACTGTTATGTAGGAAATTCTCTGGGGTTTTAGAGATTAGTCTCGCTTAATCTGGTGTTTTCTTATATAACAACCTATTTTTTTTTCCCCGATCTATTGCTGACACCTCAACGTGGTGATCGGGTGAACGAATTCTACAGTTAAAGCTTGATATAATCTCAAGCTTTAACTGTATAAAATTCGGCTAAGATCAGCTTCAAACAAGCATAATACTAAAACTAAATTAAATTTTTATATTTGTAGAATTACAAAGTTAAATTTGAAGAATAGAGAAGTATTGTAATTAGACTCCGTGGCTGCGATAGCAATGCAAATCAAGTTGGTCTGACCTTAATGAAATATCGAAATCGTTTCTTGGTAAGTAGTATATAAAGTACTCTTATTACAGCGTCGAGTGTGAGCGATGATACTATCGCGACCGTATACATTGTACTGGCCAGAGTCTCTTTAGTTTGAGTTCGCCGGGGCTAATTTATTGTATACATGTATTTATTTTTAGGAGTAAGTTATACTGGTCAGGGTCTTTTTAGTTTTCGTTTGCCGGGGCTAACTTATTATATACTGTATATATTTACTGTAATTTCTGGTATTTTTATTTTTTATTTTTTGAATTTTATGCTACGCATTGATCTTATAATCTGGTTGGGCAGTAATAGTAGACTGCCGAATTTTTATGCAATAGCCTTATATTTTGATAGTAATTTGGTTCGTTTTTTTTATTCATTCCATCAGGAACAGTACTGACGATCTATCAGGAATGATATTTTGCCCTAAAGAACCTAATGAAAAAATTTCTTTTCGATCAATCGTTAAAGTCTCAACTTTAGTTGCGTCGGCTCCTTTTAATGATTTTAACAATTTAAATTTCTTTACTATCCGTCAAATATGGAAAAGCATCTATCGAAACCTTGTTTTCTTTACCTAGAAGATTCTAAATTTAAATAAGTGAAAAATGGAATAACAGTATTCATTATAGTTTATTAAAAATTAAAGAATGGATCGTATCTATTACATTCGTATCAAGGTATCGATTATTTGGTTTAAAAGCTTCGAAATTAAATTTTTGAAGAAAAAAGGTGGTTTGTGTCTTAAATTTTCAAATTATATGGCACTATATCAACTGCTAACGTGCGTTTTTTATCTTGTCAAATAATATGTGCTAAAGTTAAAGATTCGAAATTGAACTAAGAATTTACGAATAGGTGATTCCGAGGGAAAGCTAGACTTCGATCATATAAAATTTATATGATCGAAGTCTGGTTTTCCCTTGGCGTCACCCAAATATTATTTTATTAATTTGTTATTTTCTAACAAGTTATTTATATATTTGCTTTTATTAACAGCACTTTTTATAAACTAACCTGTTTGCTATCAACCTTCGTCCCATCCATTTCACCCATAAACAATTATTTCGCCGACAAGGTTGATTTGAATTAGGAATGTATAATTTAAAGTTAGTACTTGTTTTGTACAATCTAGATATCTTATTGGCTTAATAGATCGGTATAGACCTGGGTCTTTTATATAGCGATTCATTACTGTATTATAATGTTGTAATTTTTTAAATTAAACTATTACTGTATTATAAATAATTTATCATTTCATTTTATTATATTTATTTATTTATTTATGAAATCGTTACATTAAATAGATATTAATACAATTACAACTAATATTTAAGACCGAATCAATATAAAAAAAAATAAGTAAAATTTTGATAAATGTAGCCACACATTTTTAGCACCATTCCGTTTTGCTGGCAGTAGCCAGCTTGAAATATCTCCCATCTCAGCGAATCTTTGATAATGTGATAAACGAAGGCAGAATGGTATTTGATATTCAGAATTAGATAGAATATGAATACATACCAATTCATGATATGGGAGAGCCCTTCATGCTGTAATCCATGAATGCCCTTCAATCATCTTTTTTTAAAATTCTAATCTCTTCTTGATAACAATATCCAATGTTAAATAGTTCATGAGTACTGCCAAGGGAAACCTGTTATCGGGCTTTCAATTGTATTTAATATCAACGCAATCCCAAACAAAATAAACTAATTTTGTCCGGTACAAAATTTTAATTAAAAGCCAGATGACAGATTTCCTTTGACAACACTCGTATACATTCTACATATTAGTAGATTTTTGATAGTCTTCAAACGCCTTACATTCGTTCTTTGCAACTCCAATCCTTCAACATCACACATTCCGTCAAGATAAAATTAAATGCTGCATCAGCACTACCAGACTCAGAAAATTTCTGGTAATAAAAAATGCTTTATGTTTGTCCTTTCCTACCTCAATTCCAAAGATTATTTACTCGTTGCATTTCCTGTCTCGGCAAAGTTTGATAAAATCAAACGCTGTATTCTGAATATATATTACTATCATTCTACGTTCTAAATCTAACTACCATACTATGTCCCGAATCTACCTACCGTGTTACGTTGCCATAACTATTAATGCTACTATCTAACTATCACGCTATGTTCCATTCTAATCATCATGCCCCCCTCTTATTCTAACTATTGTGTTATATCCCACTCTAACTATGTTTATCATGCTACATTCGTTCTATCACTCTACATTCAATCCGTTCTAACTATCGTGCTACTTCGTTCTTACTATTGTGCTATGCTCATCCTAACTATTGTGCTAATTTATTTTTACTATTGTGCTTCTAAAATAATGCGAATAAAAGTAAATTAAATCTAAAACAAGGGAAAAGTTAGTTCACTAAAAGATGATTAAATCCAATAGTTACCTAAGTTGTCACCTGTAGCAAATTTCAAATAACACTCGCATACTTTCTATCTTCCTTGGCTATACATATGCCTTCGCCATAGCAGAATCTAACATTAAAGTTCAATCGAATTGCCTCCTTCAGCAGATTTCAAAAAAAAAAACACACACTTAAGTGCCTTTTTTCGCTCTTGTTTGTGCCTATACCATCGCCATAGCAAAGTCCAATATTAAGTTGTCCATTTGAATTGAATCCTTCAGCAGATTTCAAATAGCGTTAAATACCTTTTTTTTCGACCTTGTTTGTACCTATACCTTCATAATAGCAGAATCAATAGTATAATCCAACATTAAGGTGTCCACTCGAATTGAGTCCTTCAACAGTTCTAAGAACATTCAAATGCTTTTTTTTCGTCCTTGTTTGTGCCTATACCTTCGTCACAGAAAAGTCCAATATTAAATTGTCCATTTGGTTTGTATCCTTCAGCAGATTTCTAATAACACCCAAATGCCTTTTTTTTTCGTTCTTGTTTGCACCTATACCTTTATCATAGCAGAATCGACATTAAGTTGCATTTGAATTGTCCTCTTCAGCAGATTTAAATACCACACACATACCTTTTTATTTTCCTTTGCCATAGGAGAGTTCAACGTTAAGTTAGCAGATTTCTAATAATTTTAAATGCCTTTTTTCTGTCCTTGTTTGTGAGTCTAACATTAAAGTTGTCCATTCGAATTGCGTCCTTCAACAGATTTCTAATAACACCAAATGCCTTATTTTTCGTTCTTGTTTGTGCCTGTACCTTCATAATAGCAGAATCGACATTAAATTGTGCATTTAAATTGCCCTTTTCAGCAGATTTCAAATACCACACAAATACCTTTTTATTTTCTTTTGCCATAGCAGAGTTCAACGCTAAGTTGCCCATTCGAATTGTGTCCTTCAGTAGATTTCTAATAACACTCAAATGCATTTTTTTCGTCCTTGTTTGTGCTTATACCTCCGTTGCAACAAGAGTTGGCAAATGACAATATTATAATGTCATATGATAAAAACATACGCTTCATGATATACAACAATATCTCATATGATAAAAATCATATGCTTTTTGATATGCAATAATATGTCATATGATATAGAATCATATATCATTTTGGCATATTATTATTGGGTCTTTGCCTTGAAAATGACCTTACGGTACATGATACCATAAGGTCATTTTCAAGGCAAAGACCCCATATAACATTATCATATGGTATTGTAATATATAGGTCATGAAAGTCATATAACACTTCGTCCAAACTAGTCACAGCAGAGTACAAAATTAAATTGTCCATTCGAATTGCGTTCTTCAGCAGATTTCTAATAACATTCAAATGCCTTTTTTCGGCCTTATTGTGCTCATACCTTCATGGTCCAACAGTAATAACACCAGCAATGACGTCTACAAGAACACCAAACAAAATCTAAAGTACAGTAATTGGGCTGTGCTCGGGCCAGCCCGACCAGCTGCTAAACATATATATACTGTAATCTCAACAAACAAAAAATATATAAATTCTCAACA